GAAACGACAAACTAATCCTTTTCTCTTTTCAACAGGAACAAAACATAGAAGTCGTCGATACTTGTACTGGCCCATTTACTACTCAAGAGTGTGTCCAGGTGGACGAGGCTCTTTGAGTTACTCCGACCGCTCCTGTTGCAGTAGGGTTGGTGGATACTGGCAGATACGTTACAGAGTTTATTCGCGTACATGCTACTCTGTTCGCTCTTGTTACAGGTGGTGGTTCTGGTATACCTGTCGAACATGCCACTACATAAATTATGTGTATTGTTACGAATATAAATGCCGGGTCTACTAAAACTCTACGAGGAAATCTAGCTCTTTTTACCTTAGACACATCTTCGCTTTTTCCATGGTGCCTTTTTGCAAAAGTGTTTTGAGTAACTCAAAAAAAGCGTTAACACTAATCCTTTTGACAAAATGACTCCATTCCAGTCCAGGCCAGGAGAAACCGTGATGTAGAACCAATTGCTTATGTTGATATTTTTTGCACTACAAAATTTTATCCGTGGATGCTACCTATATTAGCACAGGGACTGGAATACATGACAAAATCCAGTATCAAATGATTATGAATTCCGTTTTCTCTGTGCCAAATGAAAAGGGCTTGATTATCCTTGTTTTCACTTTACTATTCCCAGGCCCTCTGGAATGGATGTTTACCTTTCCATGCAGCTATGCTTTATTAGTATTGCTGTTTCAATTTTCAGCGTATTTGTAGGTGCTATTAATAAACCATTAAAAATTATAAAGCCAATTTTAGAGATCTAGTCGTAAATGAGAGTGAGGCTCTGACTCAACTATCAAGTCTATGGTGAGTCTCTCACTCATTCAGCAAAACTCTTGGAAATACCCTGCGAGAAAGTTTACAAAATTCTGTGGAAAAATATGACAACCTGCGTGTAATTTGAAACTAGAAAAGCTTTTGATTATAAATTTTAATTTTATTTCCTCAGAATAAATGATACGATATCAAACTTGCAGTTGAACTGATGTGTGTGTAATAATTCTTTTTAATATGAAATCATGTATTTACTGAGCATACCAGCCAAGTTACATGACCTGACCTCCTGGTATGGAAAAAGAATTGGTTATATTAAGATATCACTCAAGTTATCATGTATCTTAATAAGAATTAAATTTTTTAGGTAAGAGAAAGTGTTGCTTTGCTGCTTATTTGGTCTTGAAATAGTAATTTTACATTAGGTAATAAATGTTGGATGGAGCCATAAGTACCGAGAGAACTGAGTCGATTAAAAAGTAGAAACACTATGCTTGTATTTGGTGAAAAAAGGTTAAATAAAACGAGAACATTGGTAAATAACAGGATTGTTGACTTTGTTCAGGATATCTCATGGAAATTTTGGTTTAATATATTACTATTTGACATGTAACAATCCAAACACCAGCATATTAATGATTTCCTGGTAATCAACGACGTTTTCAACTTTGATCAATGTTTGATATGCTTGAAATAACCAAAAGACTAGCATTCGAATCGAATGAATGAGAATCGTAAAATTGTCCGAGATAGCTATGGTAAATAAAGAGAATCGTTAAAGTGTGCAAGATACCAACGTAAAAATCGAATAAAGGATAATCCTAAAAGTGCACAAGACAGCAATGTAACTTACGAATGAAAAATAGTTATATAAGTGTGCGAGATATATACCAACGTGACAATCGATTGAAAGAGAATCCATAAAGAGCTTAAGATGCTTACGTAACGATCCAATGAAAGTGAATCCTAAAAGGGTTCAAATACAAACATATCGATCCAATGAAAGACAATTCTTAAATTGCATGCGATAGTAACGTAACTTATGAATGAAAGAGAATCCTTAAAATGTGCGAGATACTGGTAGATACAAACGTAACAGTCCAATAAAAGAGAATCCTAAAAAATGCGCGAAATACTGACGTAACTTATGAATGACAGGCTTGAGAAGCAAACAATTCTTGAGAAATGTAAATAACTGAGATACTCCCAACGCTCTGATTAGTAAAAAACCATTATTTTATTGCACTCATCAAGGTAAGGTATAGTGATGCCTGCGTTGTGCAACTATCTAACGCGCCTGGGGTGTTTGAATTTTAACATGAATATGTCCAATTCTTATTTACTTTAATCAACATGGCTGATGTCACCATTTCCACGATTTCTTCTTGTTTACCTTCATGTCGCTCTTCACTTCTTAACTGTAGGTGATCTGAACTGCAGGTTTGCTTCATTTTATACTCTTCTTAATGCTATTTATTGGCATTATTTACGTCCATAGATAGTGCCCATGCCGCAAAGTTACTTCTCAGTGCATGTTTAATTATGGATGTCAGCAAAATTGTACAGCAACTCTCGCCAGAGCATGTTGTACTTTTGCGCTAACACAACATGTAGTTTTAGATCTTCCTGTTTTTTTTAATTCATATTCACTGGAATATCCAATGATCCGTAGCTGGCAGAAACCCGTCAAAGCAGTGATAAAGACGAGAAAGCGAACTGGAAATAGTTGGAGAGTCTTAAAGCCTACAATCTCAGGCCATGCCTCTCTGGTAGAGACGACAATTTTATATTTTCTCGTGCTGTTACCATTAAGTGAGGGTCTTTGCCGAGACCAAGAATCATTCCAGGATACTAAGATAAAAATGTTTCCCCCAATCTCTTAATTAAGATTGTACTCAACGAGTAGCGTCTACAAAACATAAAAAACTTTATTTTCTCCATAAACAAGGTTTGAAATATCATAAGTATTTTTGGCTACTTCTGCGTACATGACCCAAAAGCAGGTGGCATGCAAATGGCTAGCTTAAAAGTTAAACAACTAGAATTAGAAAGCTCCAAGAAATTAAGACGTTTTAAATATTTTCCATTAATTTTCGAAAATGCTTAACGAACCAGCTATCTTTTCTAGCTCGAAAAAATGCTTTGTCGTTTGTCATGGAGAGTTTGGTTGCCAGCTCTTCTGAGGTCTCTCTGCTAAGTATTGGAACGTTATTGTCACGCAATCGCTTGTTGTCATGTGACTCGAGTTAGCCAATCAAGTTAGTCTTACCTCGTGCTAGGATTCGCTTGCAATGTAAGTTCTTCGTTCCATTAAACGTTAAGATTCCAACTACCTTGTGATAGTTTATTTCACTGGAATCCCAACAAGTATAAAGACCGATTTTACCAGAAGTTGTAACACTTTAGTTTTTATTCACCACCTGATACAATTTTCAGCCTGCAAGGTAATCCAGGCTGAGTTTATCTAGTAGTTGTTTTGGGGTTAAGCTAAAAATGGGAGAATACAATTTGTTCACGCCGTTATACAGGATTAAGCTTGCACGGTAATCGTGTTTAGAAAGCTCTGCATTCCTAGTCAAGCTTTGAGGAAAAAAAACTGTTCTCCACTGTTTAATTGCGGATCCTTATTATGCTCCGAAACAATTTTTTTTCTCCCGTAAAAACGAAGACTTTGGCATATAAAATGGAAATTTTTGCTGTATACCCAGGATTTATCACATTCTTTTAGTAATTATACGCTGCCCTCTTTACAAAAATGATGAGACAGTATCACTATACAGAAACTGCCACAATAGCCGAAAACCTGAGATTGTTTTATTTCCATAGACCTCTCTTTCACGAACAGCAAGGGACCTGAAGGTGTCTGCTTTAATGAGATATAGGAGTTTTTATGAGGAAATGTAACGCTTGTAAAACAAACTTACTATCAAACTAATTCGCTAACTACATTGGGGTGTTTCTCGCAAACATATTCACAGCAAAATACAGTATTAATTAGGTGCCGTTGATAACAGTCATCAAAAGTTGGGCACACCACTATTTTGTAGCAAGTATGCGTTGTTATTCTGCATTTCACTTGCCAGACTTTCGTCTCAAGGAAGGAGCTTCTAGCGTCACCGGTGTCCAAAAGATGGGCTATTCCACCATCACACGTAACCTCACCGAGTGAGACAAATCGTCGTTTTCGAGTTTTTGTACCTGTTTAAAGAGCACGCACATAGTCAAGAAATGTCGCATTTTTATGAAGTGAGGTGTGATGGGAAATTGTTTTCCTCTATAATTAAAATTACATTAGTCTTATGCCGTGGAGCAATTCATTTAGGGAGAGATCCCAGGCATTATTTTAACAAGGAAACCCTCTTACCGTTTGTTTGAATCTTGGACAATGTTATGGTATCCTCCAAATGTTTCGCGTAATATATGGGGAATTCTGCACAGAAAGCCGTCATCTCGTCGCTCAGAAAGGATCGACCAGTCAACTTTTGCCCGGCTGTCCATTTGTTTGCGATGACGATCTTCTTGTTGTTAATTCTCTGTAACAAGTAGCAAAAATTACTATTGTTTGATATTCTGTTGAGCGAGTTCTACGTGGTGCATGTATAGGTATTGTGGTGAGTGGTAGAGAGAAGAAAGAGAAAGTTTACTGAGGAAAGTTGCTAAGAAGGAGTTCTTACTTCCGCCTTGTCCATGTCACTTGCAAGTTTTGCTGGCGTAGACAAGCCCTTTTCCAGGGGCAGAAGGTTACAGATCTTCTTTTCCGGTATCAGAAGCAAGCTTAGATTCTCAGTGTAAAACAGCAAGAAAGACAAGTGCTGCTTTGTCTCCTGTTTGGGGAATAACAAACATATACGGTGATCAAACGGTGATTGCAGAGGTCAGTGCATGGTTGGAATCCCGTACAGGCCTGAATTTTTTAAAGTCTGATTTTCACTATTGCTTGAAGGGCTACTGAGACGAAAAACTATGTTCTTCAAAACAAATTTTTTATGCCGACAATTTAAGTTTAGATCCTAAACGAAAAGAAAAAAAAAGTACATGTCAGACCTATCGCGGCAAGAAAAGTCCGAAAAAGTTTTGATTAAAACTCCCTAAATTTCGTCCACCATTGCTCAAACTACAACTACGGAGCCAACGATAATTTTCAGCGTCTCTCCCCATTGTGACGTCATACTATTCCTTTCCTCGAAACTCGAAAATTGTCGCTGTTCTTTATTTTAAACGACAGTAATGGTTCTATTTCTTCCGACGAGGGATCCATGAATGATTGTTGTTGTGTTGAGGCGAAATATGTTGAAGAGACTTTAGAGTAGAAACTGATAATTTTGACACTTTCTTGGGTAAACTGTTGTTTATTGTTCATTGTTATGTGATCGTTGCGAACGCGGTGAGCGGTTGCGATTCTCCACTAGTCTCGTGTAACACACGCGTGAAACACATGGTCGCAGTACGTTTTTCATGGCTGCTCTCTTAAGATATTGCGCTTGTTAGATGTTTAGTCCCTAAATACAGGATTGATTTGAAACTTGTTGTCGTCTACTTGATCGTTCACAACTACTTCTCTGTCTTCGCGACATAATGTTTGGTGCCGTGACCAGGATTTCAAGCCAAGAATGACCGAAACTTTACCCAAACACAGAGCTTCGCGAGCGGGCTTCAAAGCCCATCTGACAAAATGTTTTGATGGAGAAGGCCGCCACTCTCATGATCAAGGAAATGCCTTCAGAAGTAGAACTTGTATCCTTAAAAGATACTTTGGAACAGTTGGCACGAAAGAGGGATAAACTCACAGAGCTGGACGAAAGGATCGCCGCACTGCTCGAAAAACCAGACGAAATCGAAAAGGAAGCCTTCAAGACTGAAGGCATACCGGACGACATCGACGAAACATCCTCGCAGATAAGTAGCTTTCTTCATATGATATCTTCTAAGAAAACCCGTAACCCCTTACCCTTTACTACTACGGGAAAATCACTACTTCTGCCCGTTAGCAATACATCAGAACAAATTGCCTCGGGAATTCATGATCATCAGCCCCCACCGCTAGAAACCTCAACCACACAAGTTAATGGGCGACCCAGACTTCCACTCGAACCCCAAGGTGCCACCAACGAAATCTCACAAGTCTTCCTCCAAGTTATTCAAGACTCTTCACACGTACACCCACCACAACAAAATCCAACCTCGAGTTCTGCACCCCACTTGTCAAATAACCAAACTACTAGTCCTCACAATCATAGCAGTCGTCTTCCTAAGTTAAATCTACCTACCTTCTCTGGAAATCCACTACGTTGGTTTACATTCTGGGATTCCTTTGAGGCAGCGGTTCACTCCAACACAAGCCTTGGTGGGGTACAGGAATTCACCTATCTTAAGGATCAATTTATGGGAGATGCATTAAGGGCTGTCACTGGCTTTCCCCTTACAAACAGTAATTATCAACAAGCAGTAACACTTTTGAGAGAACGTTTTGGACAACCAAACAAAATAATCAATGCCCACATGCAAGCTCTTCTGGATCTTTCAAAACCCATCTATGAACTCTCAAGCTTACAAGTATTTTATGACACCATGGAAAATCATGTGAGGGGACTGGAATCTCTTGGACGGTCTCATGAGTCTCACGGGGATCTCCTTATTCCAATTTTTCTAGGAAAGTTACCCTGTGATATGCGAACAAATTTGACTAGAGATCATGACAGTCTTTAATCGAAGTTCCAACGGTTAAGGTAATCTATCGTTAAGGAAATTCGAATCCTTGAAATAGGGGTACATACGAATCCCTCAAGCCATACCCATACATGAGCTTCCGCTACAGTTACCAACTCATTTCTCACCCAAACCCAAGGGAGATCACCTGTCACCCCACAATTCCCATCATCAGGAACGAGGGGGAAATGTACCTACTGCAAGGGTCCTCACCCAGCATGCAAGTGCAGTGTGATCACTGACTGTCAGGAGAGATGAGCTATAGTCAAAGGGGATAAACTGTGCTTTAACTGTCTGGGAAACCACAAATCTACTGCCTGTCAATCACGATATCTATGTCATAAATGACGGGGGAAGTATTACAGCAGCCTCTGCACAGGAACACCACCTACCACAACCAACCCCAACCCCCGTGGTACTGATCAACACCAGGGACCAAGTAATTCGAACAACAACCCCCAAACTACAAGTCAATATCACCAACCATCACCAGCTCATGTCCATACCACTCTTGCACCAATACATCCCACACCTACATCCAGTAGGCCACACCTGGGTCGCACCTCTCTACTAAAAACAGCCATAGCCACAGTGTGCACAGATTACATCCGTTGTGAAGCGAACATTCTCTTTGATGAAAGGGCTCAACGTTCATTCATCACTCGCACATTAGCTAACCAAATTGGCCTAAAAACCTCAGAGAAGGAAAGTATTCATCTATCAGCCTTTGGAGGTCAAACATCAGCTGTGAGACACCTTCCCCTGGCTACCTTAAACGTTGTGACCACCTCTGGTGAGAAAATCCTACTCCGTGTTTTGGTGATCGAGAAGATCGCTACACCACTTCAGACACACATGCAACAAGGTGTGGAAGACCTCCGTCACCTAAGAGGGCTAAAACTTGCACATCTCATTATGTCTGATGAGAGCATTGATATATCGCTCCTTATTGGTGCAGATCATTACTGGGATCTTGTTGAAGACCATGTTATTCGTGGTCCCGGAACAACAGCCGTCGCTTCAAAACTCGGTTACCTCCAATCAGGACCATTGCCAACATTGCCAGGCGCCTCTTCATGTACCGTTGTGAACTTACCACAGACCATATTATGTACAAAGGAGGACGAACTTGACCTAGAGAAGTTCTGGTCTCTGGCAGCCATGGGTATCTCCCCACAATCAGAAAAAAATGATGATGAAGTCTTTCTGGAAAACTACATCAGTGGCTCAATAACAACAAATCAGGATGGCAGTTACAATGCCAAGTTTCCCTGGAACGATGATTCCCCAATACTGCCAACAAACTACAACAAGTGTAAATAGCGCACCCGCTCTATGGTCCATCGTCTTGCCGCCACACCCCGACCCTTGACTACTTATAATCATAGCTGAACATGAAACACGTGGATTCATTGAAATAGTTGCCGACCCACAACCTACAGACAATGCACACTACATTCCTCACCACCCAGTAAAGAATGGCTCGTCTACAACTCTCATCAGAATTGTTTATGACTGCAGCTTCCACTCCTCACCTGACAACCCCAGCCTGGATGACTGCCTTTTTTGTTGATCCCCCGTTCCAGAACAACAGGTGTTCGATTCTGCTACGATTCCGTACCTTTGCTTATGGCTTGTCAACAGATATTGAAAAGGCATTTCTCCATGTTGGTCTCGATGACAGTGACAGAGACTTTACCAGGTTTTTCTGGTTGTCTAACCCCGAGGATCCGGAGAGCGAGTTCCAAGTCTACCGCTTCAAACTGTTCTGTTTGGCTCTGTAAGCTCTCCGTTCATGTGGAATGCAACCGTTCACCACCACCTGACCCATTACAATACATGGGTAGCTAAAGACATGAAAGAGAGTCTCTATGTCGACAATGTCATTTCAGGTTGTGATCAAGAACTGGAAGCTCTAGCCTACTACAAAGAAGCACAATCTATCTTGAATGAAGCCCACTTCAACCTTCGCTCTTGGTCTTTAAATAGCTCGTCACTCAGAGATCAAGCTGCAAAGGATGGAACTGCTAATACAAATGAAACTGTGAACATTCTTGGCTTGAATGGGACCCTTCTACAGATACCATTTCTCTGACCCCAAGCAAAGACGAGTCCACAAGACAGTTAGTCATCAAGCGCAATGTACTGCAAGTCTCATCCAAGGTGTATGATCCCCATGGGCTCCTGTCTCGAGTCACCATAAGAGCCAAACTTCTGATCCAAGAATTGTGGCAGCAATAGCTGGAGTAGGATGAGCCACTTCCACCTGAACTGACCAGTCAATGGCATAAAGTAGCTCAAAGTATTGAGGCAGCGACTACGATCCCCCTACCCCGATGCTTCTTTCCAAGTTCCGAGATGCAATCCACCACAGCCCACTTACATGTGTCTGCAGATGCCAGTCCTAAGGCCTATGGAGCTGTCTCCTATATCGACCACCAGTGGTAATCAATGCTTCTTAGTCACGGCTCATTATATAAATCGATAGTCGCCCCCTTAAAGAAGTTGACCTTGCCACAGCTAGAACTCATGGCTACATTGACCGGCGCAAGATTAGCGAGCTTTGTTTCTCACACAATCAAGTCCAGGTAGCCTAGTCTGAAGGTCAAGCTATGGTCTGACAGTGAAATAGTTCTTCATTGGCTGTCAAGCAGCAAACCATTAAAACAGTTTGTGGCAAACTGCACAGAGGAGATCCAAGGAGTGTTCCCTGTACCATACTGAAACCACTGCCCAACAGCTGACAACCCTGCTGATTTACTCACTCGTGGAATCAGTGCAGAACAACTTCAGAGCTCCAGCTTGTGGAAGCATGGTCTACAATGGCTCCTGGCCGAGCCCCAATGGCCACAATGGAAACCCTCTCTAGTCCTTCACCTGAGTCTCTCCCAGCCACTCGAGGAAGAAACCCCCTGTGGTGACTCTATCCCAACACAACTTCTAGAAGAGCAGACTGGGATTCACCGTATAATTGACATCTCCAGATACAGTACTCTACCCAAACTAGTGGGTGTTACAGTCTGTCTTACAATTTCTAAACCACCTACGCAAACATGAACCGAGACACGTAGGACCTCTATCTGCCAAAGAACGACACCTTGCCCTCCAAGAATGTATTAAAACCTGCCAAACACTGATCTACCCCGATGAAATAGCCAATTCGATTTCTCACTCCCTATCTCGCCTTCCCCTGGTACAACTTCGTTTATTTCTTGACTCCAATGGCCTTCTTCATTGCGCGGGGAGGATACACAATGTTCCACTAGATGACTCAGCAAAACTCCCCCCCTCCTTCCACCAAGACATCCACTCTCAAAGTAAATTATCCATGATGTTCATGTCAAACAGCTACATTCTGGAGTCAATGCCACTGTAACTGCACTTCGTCAGACCTTTTGGATTACATGCATTTGTCAGCATGTAAGAAAACAACTCAAACACTGTGTTACATGCCGAAAGCTCGAGGGGACAGCCTATAGAGCCCCAGATCCTGCTCCTCTACCCAAGATAAGAGTTCAAGAAGCACCCCCCTTTGCAGTAACGGGAGTAGATTTTACAGGACCCCTTTACGTGAAACCCGACAACGGTGAAACCAAGAACTACATTTGTCTATTCACCTGTGCTGTTACAAGAGCCATTCATTTGGAAGTTGTCACAGACTTAACAGAGAGCAGCTTCATTCAAGCGTTCCGCAGATTCTCAATCCGTAAATCCTTACCAGTGGTCATGATTTCAGATAATGCATCCACTTAATTAGCCTCTGCAGAAACCCTTCAAGAACTGTTCCAATCTCCCTTATTGAAAGAAGCCTTGGGGAGACTAGGAATTGACTGCAAGTTTATCCCCAAGCGTGCTCCCTGGTAGGGTGGATTCTGGGAACGGCTGATTGGATTGACAAAGAAAGCTGTCAGGAAGACACTTGGTAGAGCATCGGTTACTTTTGTCGAACTGCAGACCCCTGTTGTAGAAATAAAAGCAACTCTGAATGACCGACCAATCACCTACGTCTCAAGCCACATAGGTGACGAGGAACCATTGACTCCCTCTCATCTACTCTATGGAAGAAGGATTACCTCCCTACCCTTTGATTATGGTATTACGAGTGAAGATCTGACGGACCCTGGCCATATGCTTGGCAATGGCTCTGACATGAGACGCCGAGCAAAAATGCAAGGACTCATCCTCCAACGCTTTTGGAACAGGTGGAGGCATGAGTATCTTACTTCACTCCACGAATTTCATAGCACAACTGGAACTAACAACCAGTCTATCAAGAAGGGAGAGGTTGTACTGGTCCATGATGACACTCATCGTTTAACTTGGAAGTTAGCTGTCATAGACAGTCTAATCGAAGGAGCAGATGGGCTGGTTCGAGCCGCGAACATCCGAACAAACACGGAATGCACAAACCATCCAATTGCAAACCTCTATCACCTGGAGATATCAGCAGACGTGGAAAACCAGGATGGACCAAGCAGAGACAACACCAATGGGCTAGCCACTAACAACTCAAATAGAAGAAGAGCCCCAACTTCCAATGCTTTAAGTAAGATCTCGGTGTGGAAAAACAGTCTCCGCGGCCTCCCGGAGGATTTCGAAGAGACTTTAGAGTAGAAACTGATAATTTTGACCTGCACTTTCTCCCGTAAACTGTTGTTTATTGTTCATTTGCAGATGCCAGTCCTAATACTGGATATATCGCGCTCCGTGCGACAAAGAAACAGAGCCACGTGCAACCGAGGAAAAGGCCATCGCTTTTGAGGAAAACATTTAAAAGTGGCTAGTAAGGAAATGAGGGAGCTAGAGCTTTAAAAGCGCCTTACTGGTGACGCAGAAGTTCATAATACAAATTTCAGCACATAGCTTCTTAGTTAAGCTTTTGTTGCAGAATGAAAATATCTCTTGCAAGGCTATATTTATTGTTGTAAGGTGTCTTCGAGCAGTACTCTTCCAGCCAGTTTATCCTTGTTCGTATTTCGCTGGAAGTTCAAATCTTTTGCCTTTGTCATGCAATGCCTTTAAGCCGTTATGCAACGCTTTTCCTGCCGAAACTGTGATATACCATGGTTTCGAAGAAAACCAATATCCTGTTTATTTCTATGAATTGGGTTTTACGTATTACACATGACTATGAAATCGTGTTTGTGTAGCTTTTCATCTTCGGAAAAAAATCAGAATGCTGATAAACTTTTGCAAAGGACTACTTTTTGTTATTCTCAGGGAACAAAAGTATTTTGTCAACACTGCTAGTGCGACACTCAGAAACTGTGAAATACATGTACTTATGTAATGTCCTTGCAATTCAAGATAACTAAACAGCAGCAGTAAAGAGTTCGCTCACTCCTGAATTTTGAGTTGAACAATGCACAACAGTCCTGTGTGAGTCAAATCAAATTGTTTGTGGCTTTCTTAGTTTCACAGTAGTAAGTAATTGGAACTGTTCTTCAATGGTTCTCCTCGTACCTACTTGATCGCTTCCAGCAAGTGACTATTAGTGATTCTACATCCTCACCGCGATGCTTAGAATACGGAGTACCTCAGGGCTCGATACTTGGCCCCTTACTCTTTACTCTCTACCTGGCACCTCTTCAAGATGTTATACTTACTCGTGACTTAAATTGTATGTTCTACGCCGACGATACCCAAATCTACATCACTATTAAAGATCCTGAGCATTCTACCGAGTCTGTAAATATTCTTCAAGCATGTGTAAATGATGTTTTTGCATGGTACACTCAGAACATGCTGAAGAGCAATCCAGATAAAACTGAAATTCTGCATTTCACCTCCCGGTTCAAGAAGCAACCGTCATTGTTGGAGACCGTAACATTAGCAAATAGTGAAATAGGAATCAAAGGAAAAGCTACGAATCTAGGCATTGTAATGGATAAAAATCTATCTTTAACGATCATATCAATGAAACATACAAAAAAGCCATTTTTGCTATAAGATCCATTGGACGCATCCGTCGATACCTTCCCAATGATGCGTTGAAGATGCTAGTCAAATCCCTTGTAATTTCTAGACTGGACTATTGTAATAGCATTCTATATGGGATACCAAAGTATCAAAGGGACAAACTC